TAGCTGCTAGCTCCTCCAGGATCTCTACCAGTCTCAGTAGCTAGTTTAACCCAGCACAACAAGGTGACTGATGGAAAGGCTCTCAGCTTCTTTGAGGTCAGAGTCAGTGAACATGGCTGCCACATCTGAGTCCTGAAGCACAAGCGGTTGATATTAAACACACTAGCAGTACGTTGAGCAGTTCAGATTTAAAGGAACAGTTCAGAATGTCATTGTTGTTGTTGTCATTTACTGTTCCAGCCTGGTGTGACTGTACAGTGTTTTCTGTCTTCAGTGAAACACTGAATCGTAAGTCGAAGGGCAGCTCTGTTATGAAAGCGGATAGAGATGTCATACAGTACGGCCTGCCATTACTCTTCTGCAGTTCACCATTGAAAATCATCTGTTGTCATTTAATGAACAAACCAGTCTATGTTTCATGGAAGAAAGGAAACAGTAATCTGGGTTGGAAGAGCATGTTGGTGATTCTCCCACTGTAGATGTTGAGTGTTTTCTGTGTGTTGAAGTATTGTGATTTTCTCCTCTCAGGACCTCCAGCCGCTGGGCCGCCCAATCCTGCCTTTCCTTCTCCTCCAAACCCAGTGTACCCAGCCATGCCCATCCCATCCGGCCCGCCCGGACCCAACCCCGTCTATCCACCCATGAACCATCCCACGACCATCCCGTACCCCGCGCCCAACCAGCCGTTCCCCCCGGCGGGGCCCTTCCCCGGGGCCGCTCACCCCTGCCCCATCCCTCAGTACGGGGCCCACCCCGCGGGAGTCCATGCACCTGGACACAAGAAACACAAGAAGATGAAGAAAGGCCATAAAGCTCATAAAGCTCACAAGGAGCACAAACACATGAAACATGGCAAGGTGAGAGGCTGAGCGAGTGCTGCGCGGATGAGCTGATTCTAAGAGACCTTATAAATGACAATTATGAATACAGCTGCCACACCGAAGCAAGGTTATTTTCGTAAACGAAAACTAAGACGAAAACGATTGATCAAAAAACATTTTTGTAAACTGAAATAAAATAAAAACATCAAAATAAATGAAAAATTAAAACGAAACTAACAACATTTATTGAAAAACTAACTGAAATAAAATAATTAATAACAGCGCGAATGGACGCTGCAAATCGAATGTTGAGGCTCCGCCATTATTATTGAATTAGTCCCAGTTATGATTTATGCACATTTGTTTGCAGGAAAGTGAGCAAGACATGACAGTTACAGTATCATGATTATGGTTAAATAAATAAGATAAAAGACACCTAATATAAACGAAATACATTTATTTTTAAATGAAATATCACAACACACATTTGTCATTGTCTAGTGCTTTTAAATAGGCTATGATAATGTAGATTTATGGAGTAAAAAGGAATGACTGCTTCATTTTTGTGTGTATTTGTATATTTGCGTTCATTTTTGCGTATATTATATATATGCTGAATGGTCTTTGATGCTGTGTATGGTGTTGTTTTGCAGCATTCCTCATCCAGCAGCAGCAGCAGCAGCAGTGATTCTGACTGAAGACAAGCACGCACACACAACCTGCTCTCTGTCTGCGTCTGATCTCACGAGTGTCAGGGCTGATAAATCAAGCCCAGCGGCTATACAATCCATAATCAAATGCAGTAATGTATTGCACTTAAGTATATTTATGTGTTTCTGTGAGTCTGAATGCTTTTGTTAATTACATTTACAAGAAAAAAGTAATAATCAGCTTTCCATGTGAAGAGATCACATTTAATTATAACTTTTGCTGAACTTGACTCAGTTGTGAACAACATACTGAAATGTCAGACATCTGCCTCCATTTGAGAATGGACAACTGTAATTAAACAAGCTCACTTCGTTTATGCATTAAGGAGAAAAGTCCCAGATAGCACACATACATACGTCTGCAAGACGTCTGGAAAACATCTGCTGTGCACAAACATCTGATAAACGTCTTTAAAAAGTCAGTTTTACATACATTCTAAATCATAAACATCTTAAATAACGTCTTTAACATCTGACAGGAGAAGTCCCAGAAAGTATTGCAGATGAGCAGATGTAAACACACACCTGGAATAGACGTCTCTGAGTTATGTGTGCTATCAGGCCTGCTTCTTCCTCTCTTGTGTTCATTAAAAAGTTAAACAATTAAAAAGTATATGCTTTGGCCTGGATACATTTAGTTTTAACTGAGGAAGCTTCAGACACAACACCTGTAGTGTAATGTTTCTTTGCACTACCTGAAGCAGTAAATATGTATTGATCAAAGTTAATAATCAGGAATTGATGAAGCTGAAATAGATATTGTAGTTAATATAGACATGAGTATTCTGCAAGTGATGTATTTCAGATTTAATCAACTGTAAACTCACTTTAAATGGCTTTAACTGTGTGTGCTGAGAAATCAGTTGCATGTTTTTGTTGGCTAATGAAGCACAGGCAGTTTTTCAATGAATAAAACATTAAGAGAAAGCTTGAAACATCTACCAGTTATATTCATTATTGTGTGCTAAATTAATGTTTTAATAACAATGCAATTACTTTGTCAACAAATTTTGGGATTTGCACAGCTCAGCATTAAGATATCTCCTGAATGCCCTAGTAAACCAGTACAGTGTGTTATTAAGAGCAACAGATGAAATCATGCATATGACAGACACAGTGGACAGTGAGATCGCTTCACTCCTGACCGACAGGTGGCGCTAACGCTGCTTCTCCAGCCGCTGAAACCCTTCAGGAGGAAGAAGAAGAAGAAGAGGTAGTTGATGCACGTGCTCCGCCGGTCGGTCAGTCAAGTGTTTCTGAATAACGCTCTTCTGAGGAAGATGAAGATGAAGATCGGGACTCATAACGGCACCTTTCACTGCGATGAGGTTCTGGCGTGTTTCCTCCTGCGACAGCTGCCGGAATACAAGGTGCTGTTCATCACTATATTCACAGTCTGCTACTTCACTTCAGCATCAGATAAAGCACTCACCAGACTCTTCATCACACAGTGAATCCCAACATAAAAACAGTCTCATGTTCACAGTGTCTCTTATGTCAGTGTACAGTATGCTGTACTGTATTGTAGTACTGTACTGAAGCAGCGGTGCAGACAGATCTTGTTTACTGTAGGAGCTGTGATAGATGAGTGTATAGCAGGAGAATGATCATCCGTGTGCTCTTCATCTGTGTGCTCTACTTCATCTGTGTGCTCTTCTTCATCTGTGTGCTCTTCTTCATCTGTGTGCTCTTCACCATCTGTGTGCTCTTCTTCATCTGTGTGCTCTTCTTCATCTGTGTGCTCTTCACCATCTGTGTGCTCTTCTTCATCAGGACGCAGAGATCCTCCGCAGCAGAGACGCGTCGCTCCTGAAGCAGTGTGATGTTGTGGTGGATGTCGGAGGAGAATATGATCCTGCTCAGCAGCGATATGACCATCATCAGAGGTACATCATCATCATCATCATCATCCTGCACTACAACTTTACAGATCCTTACTGCAGCATTTCTTCATCTGCCCGAAACTATCAGCTTATTTATCAAACCTGACCGATTAGAGAAGCTGTGAATGAGTTTTTCAGGTTAATTGGCATTTAATCACTTTTTTATGTGCCTCTCTCTGCTATATGTGACCCTGGAGCACAAAAGCGGTCTTAAGCAGCACAGGTATATTTGTAGCAATAACCAACAATACATTGTATGGGTCAAAATTATACATTTTTCTTTTATGCCAAAAATCATTAGGATATTAAGTAAAGATCATGTTCCATGAAGATGTTTTGTAAATCTCCTACCTTGGCCAAAAAATTGACCCTTATGACTGGTTTTGTGCTCCAGGGTCACATATATATAATACTTGAGAATGATAGTGATAATACATGTAATACTGAAACAGCTGTTTACAGATCTCATTACCTCACATTAATTTACAGTTTTTTACGATCACTAGGACACATTTCTCATTACTTGGGTCACTTTTTCACAACTCTTCACACAGCGAGCACAACATCAGTCTCTGAGGCTAAACTGTGGCTCATTTATCACTGCTTTGGCACAAAATGCATTTCATTCATGAAACATGAGCAGAACAAATTTTTGTGTAAATCGTTCGTAAAGCTGTTCTGACGTAAACTTTCGAATTCATGAAAATTTATTTTTAAAATGTTAGTTGATAGGAAAGAAATATACACCTGCTCTTTACCAGGTGTAAATGGTGCGTTAAAGCATTCTGTGCTCTCTTTGGCAAACTGATGACACTGAATTTTGATGCACTGCCATCATAATTACAAGTTCATTTGCCCTTGCCTTCTTTTTGAATTTTTTTTATTTTTAATAATTTTTTTTATTATTATTTATTTTTATAAATTTTTTTTGCAGCTGAGTTGATAACTGTAAAAGGCAGCGCTCGTCTCTGTCACTATTTACCCAGCCGTAAATAGAGGACGGGTGGGACAAATAGTGACCAACCATCCTGCTTGTACAACGACTGCCTACAACAGAGAAGTCAATATTACTGATTACTGCATTTTTATATTTAGTCAAATTCTTAATAATTACATATTAGTAGGCTAATATGTTGCCGCTGTTAATATTCCATACCATAGCAACTAAAGCATCTCCGCTGGAAAAACACTGTGCCACCAAAGCGTTCAAGCGCCACCAACTGGTTGTTTTCAGAAGAGCGCCTGACATTTTTCAGCTGTCTAAAAACACTTTGGTGGACATAGGCTATTGAATATTTATTGTTAGGCATATGGCCTATTAGTCTTTTTTGCATTTATGCAATATACTGGAGCCAAACCTGAGAAAGTAGAGCAGAATATTCCACTGCGTTCCTGGACACGCAATTTGCGTAGCTGTAATTCATAGGCGCGCAGGGATTATGCTAATCGTGAATGAGCGTGCACGAGCGCCCCATTTACGAATGATTGGAATTCATTAACATACATGTTTAACCATCAAACCGGACGTTTACGAACCGTTTGTGAATCCGGAGGAGAGTTTTCGGGAAGGTCTGTTTTACACGCAAATTACTCTGAATTTACTCATATATTTACGCAAGTTTCATGAATGAGGCCCATTGAGCACATCTGTCAAATTACATGAATTATTTTCTCGTTTCGACACAAACACCACCAAACCTTTATGTTCTATACAAGCCAATTTGCACGTTTACATACTGTTTTCAGAACTGTTACACTTGAGTAGTACTGCACAGTACAACAATGAATAAGAAATATCATATAGAAAAATATTCTGGATGTAAAAAATCAAATCCTATCAAAGCAGATGCATGTGGATGAACATCTTCACAAGTGTTAGTCTTTCACTTTCATTACCATCTGTACAAAAGGGCAAAACCTAGGAATAACTGTACTGTACTGTAAACATGGAGCATGTAACATACACTGCAGTGAATTATAAACAGCAGAGAGTGTCATTCTTGTTTTGTAAAGACATTTTACAAAAGAAAACATTGTGTAATGCTCCCTGTTGTTAGTGTTTTTAGGTCATTGTGCTATGAGTGATAACGTGTGTTTGTTTGGTGAAACCTTTGCTAGAGTTCTGAAAGAATAAGCTGATTTGAGGCATTAATGAAGTGTTTTGGTGGTTTTAGTGCATTCTGAATGTGAGATGAACTGCTGTGTCGAGTTGAAAGATGCTTAGCAGAACTGTGTGAAGAGTTGTGAAAAAGTGACTTTAGTATTGAGAAATGTAATCGATCAATCAGTTCATGAGGTTTATTGAAGATCTGCTCATTTGACCAGTTAGGCTTCAGAATACAGTATTTTTCAACATAACCAATAACAAGTGCATGCTTCATTTTGGTTCAATCATAAGCTACCCACCGTTTTCCTTCAGCACACAACACTTTGAATTGTGGCAGTGACTTCCTTTAAACTGTAAACAATCAGCGACTGACTGAACTTGTTGAAACCATCAAACATTAAAAGGAAATGTAAAAATGTGAAAGTATTAATAAATCACCATCAGCTGACCATGAATAACCTCAAATGTGCAGAAGAGTCTTTCAGCAGCAAGATTACAGATGTTAAATATGACTGTAGTAATATATATGTTAGTCAAATCAAAAATAAAACATAAGAATATGCATGAATCAGAAATACTCTTTCAACTGGAACATTGGTGCATAATTCAGAACGAGAGGCTCCGAGTGCACAGTGTGTGTGTCGTTCAGCAGGTCTTTTGCAGAGAGCTTCCACAGCTTGTGTCCAGAGAAGCGCTGGGTGACGAAGCTGAGCTCGGCGGGTCTGATCTACCTTCACTTCGGCAGACGTGTTCTGGAGCAGCTGACGCAGCTGAAGCAGCACGAGCCGCAGCTGGAGCTCCTGTATGACAAGGTCAGTTCAGTCTCGAGGCTTTGAGCAGCACACAGACCGTGTTCACAGACTCCTCTCTGCTCCAGATGTACGACAGCTTCGTGGAGGAGGTGGATGCGGTGGATAACGGGATCAGTCAGTGTGACGGAGAGGTGCGTTACTCCATCAGCACCACCCTCAGCGCTCGCGTCGGCCACCTCAACCCTCGCTGGAACAGCTCTGACCAGGACACTGAGGTTAACACACCGCTGCACCACAGTCACCTGCAGACTTTTACTTGCCATTCTTCAGCCTTTAGACCATTTTTCTAGGTTAGGGTTAGGTTCTAGGTTCTAGGTTATTTTGAGTCAAAATCATAATTTATTATGTATTTTACACGTAATTGATCTAAACACAAACAGCAGACGGTCTAATTGAAAATGCATTTGCACTGCAGGTCTTGATTCCCAACTCTGATTTTTTTTGGAAAGCAGCTTACATCATCTTTTAAAAGTGACCCATATACAATATCTGCATTACATCATAGATTTGGCGAAACAACTCAAGGTAGACATACTGACCCGGAAACAGGGTTGCCAGGTATGCGAAATAAAACCAGCCCAATTGCTAATCAAAACTAGCCAAACTAGCCGTTCCCTCTGTCAAACTTGCATTCCAGGGGAGAGCTCGCTATAGCAGTGTGGCAACAGTGTAAACAGGGCCAGCGCAATGTGCACCTAAATGCCCTCTAAACCGCTTTCGAGACGGATTTAAATCTGATCGCTCGAACCACATCAGGAGATGAAACTGGACAAGTGTAACTGCATCTGATTGTTGAAACCACATATGCAAATTGTACTCCTCCCACAATGTTAAAATAATAAACTTGTGAGAGCTTGTGCTTTTTTCCTGCTCACGCTTGTGTTATATCTGATCTGTGCCACACGGGGTGTAATGTAAATGTCTCTGTCAGATGAGATGCACAACAACTGAATACGTTAGCATGAAGTTCAGGTGAATATCATACACTTTTGTAGTCATATAAAGAATATTGCTTGAATCTTAAAACTTCTACATCACAGGAGGGCTTCCAGAAAGCGCTGGCTCTTGTAGGAGCAGAATTCAAGGACCGGTTGGTTTTCTTCATGAAGGCCTGGCTCCCGGCGAGAGAGATCGTGCAGCAAGCTGTTCAGAGCAGATATCAGGTGATTAATATCTCAACATTACAGTCCACAGGCTCTAACGTGATTCACTGATGGCTCTGTGTGCTGAAGCGGAGATGGTTTGCGCTGCACAGGTGTCTTGCAGACAGGTGTGTGTGTGTGT